TCTCCGACTCAGCTTCGCGGGAACGTTTACGTATTCCCTCGCATTTCAAGATGTCCCGAAATGCTTTGCTCCCAACCGCCCTTTGATAACAATACATGTTTTTGTAGCGCTTTCGTGAAGCTGTATAGCACAGCAGTTAGCCCAGTTTCCTGCCGTACCACTTTCTTAGCTGAGTGAACTTGGACACTCCTGGTTTCAGTCTCCTGTCTATAAAATGAGGATACGAGTACATATTTCATGGGATGGTAATCCATGGAAAGCCGTCGACAGCTCCTGGTACATAGGGCTCTACAAAGTAAGTTAATGTTATTACTTAAACTGCTAAACATTTTGTATAATTGAGTAACCCCCCTCCCCACTACAGGAGCTTCCTCTGTCTGTTTACAAGGATAGCACGCTGTGCTTCCCTACTCATATATAAAGATTATACCTCTTTATCAAGATAACGCTGTGGTTAAAAATATAGTTGAAATCGTAGACTCCAGGTCTAGATAATATTTCAAGGAAAGCATGGATAAGATGACAACTTTTTAGCCATGAGTTTTTACTATCAGGTTGTTTTGTTTTGTTTTGTTTTTGATGGAGGGAGGTAATTAGATTTATTTATTAGAGGAGGTACTGGGAATTAAACCCAGGACCTCATACATGCTAAGCATGCTTTCTACCACTTGAGCTATACCCTCCCCCCAGCCATGAGTTGTTAAGAATGCAAGCACATTCCTACATGGTTAAGGGAGAAGTTTGGGAAATAACAAGCCAGTTACCATTAAGGCACTAAGATAAAGATAACCATTCAGGTAGAATGAAGGTCTTGTTTTTATGCTACTTTATTCTTTTTCTGTATCATGAATTGTATTCCTAGCTGGTTCACTAAGAAAGGCAAGAACCCCTCCTGCTTTTTACTACTCCTCTGATAATCTCCTTTTTAATAAGAGGTTTATTGTCACCTATGGGATGTACCCTTGGCCTTCAGCTTTGTTTTACATGTTTCTTGTGGGAAATTGAATTTATCAGACTGTGATTGTGGTAGAAAATTGTTTTTGTTAGACCGTGTTTATGGTTGGAAATTGAGTTTACTCACCTAAACTGAAATGTAGAGTTGACATTACAATTGGATAATCTTATCCAAGACCTTATTAGCTTTATTTTATAACTTAACTGGCATATAAGTAGTTTCACTTTTGTGTATTTGTTAAGACTCTCTCTCCTCAGACTTATTTGAGAAAATAAATTTGGTGCTTCTGAAGATTCATTTCTAAAACACAATGTGAAGCATGTTCCTTCAACTTAGATCACATTTGGACTATTTATATGTGCCAGATGCTGATATGAATCATATCATTTTATTCTCACAAAAAACTTATTATCCCCACTTTACAGATGAGAAAACTGAGGCTGAAAGATGTTGAATGACATGTCTAATGATACAGTGATAGCTGTCAGTGGAGCTGGGATCAGAGCACCTTGACCTAGAGTCTGCAGTCTTAAGCCTTATCCTATGCTGAAATGCCTCTCCAAATGCAGAACTGTGTAATTAAAAGGTTGTCAACTGCTGGCTTCATTCTGATGAGATGTAAGTATAAAATAACACACACAAGACATATCCCACCACACACACCCGGAATTTATAAGGGCTGTCCTTGGGAAGGCAGTGCCCAAGACCTAGTCCACTTTACTGCCTTTCAGACTTTTGGAGTTTTATTTGGGAAATGCCTTGAAAACCAGTTTAAGAAGGGCTTGTGGATTAAGCACCTACTGAGTTCCAGATGCTTTACATGTATTATCTATTTTAGTCCTGTCGCTCCTATGATGCATTTTTATCCTCATGTTATAGATGAGAAATTGAGTAGCAGAGAGGAAGTCAAGTAGTTTTCTTAAGATAATATAGCTATTAAATGGGAAAGCCAGTGACGATTGATACTGGGTTGGCCTGACCCAGTAGCAATACTCTTGTGTGGCAGACACTGCTACTTGTCCCTCAAAATCCATTCCCCTTTCTTTAATCTCTGTTTAAAGGCACTGTTAAATTGGCTTTTGTTACAGTTGGTGAACCTGCACCCTAATCAAGACATCTTGAAGGCCCAACAAGATAAGAAGCTCCACTTAGATAAGGAAGATTAACAGCTGCGTCATCTGCACCTAGTTCTGTGCCTGGAGCACAGTAGGTCCTCTACAAATATTTTAATGAATCCTCAAAATGTCATTGTGAAGTAATTCACAGTACAGTAGAAGTTCTCTTATCTGACATGATCAGGAGTGAACTATTTTATTTCAACTTAAAACAAAAAATACATTCATTTGCTATCTGTCAAAGTGTGACCAGGGTCCCGTCTTTTTTTGTTTGTTTGTTTTATGTGCACATGTATTTCTTTCACATTCTTTTTGTTAAAAGTTATTATAAGATATTGAATATAGTTCCCTGTGCTATACAGTAGAAATTTGATTTTTAAATCTGTTTTTATACATAGTGGTTAACATTTGCAAATCTCAAACACCCAAATTTATCCTTTCCCATCCTTTTGCTGATAACCATAACCATACTGTATCTGCAAGTCTCTTTCTGTTTTATAGATGAGTTCATTAGTGTCCTCTTTTTCTTAACTTTTTCTTTTTTTTTTTTAAGATTCCATATATGAGTGAAATCATATGATATTTTTCTTTCTCTTTCTGGTTTACATCACTTAGAATGACAATCTCCAGGTCCATTCATGTTGCTGCAAATGGCATTCTTTTGTTCTTTTGTTCTTTTTTTTAACCACTGAGTAGTATTCCACTGTATATGTATGCACCATAACTTCTTTATCCAGTCATCTGTCAGTGGACATTTAGGTTCCTTCCATATCTTGGCTATTGTAAATAGTGCTGCTGTGAGCATTGGGGTGTATGTATCTTTTTGAACTGGAGTTTTCTCCAGATACATGCCCAGGAGTGGGGTTGCTGGATCATATGGTAAGTCTATTCTTAGTCTTTTGAGAAATCTCCATACTGTTTTCCATAATGGCTGCACCAGACTACATTCCCACCAGCAGTGTTAGGAGGGTTCCCTTTTCTCCACACCCTCTCTAGCATTTATCTTTTGTGGACTTTTTAATGATGGCCATTCTGACAGCCTAGGTTTTTTATTTTGATGACTTTCAGTGTCTCCATTTCTTCTTATGGATCACACTTCTGGTGTCAAGTTTTAAAATCTCTGTGCCTGACCCTAGATCACCAATTTTTCTCTGAGAATTTTTCCCCCTAGAATATGTTCTAATGCTACATTTTACATTGAAGTATGTGATCCATTTCAAATTCATGTTTATATGAGGTATGAGGTTTAGGTGTTTAGGCTAAATGTTGTTTGTTTGTTTTCTTATTTTCGTGTTTTGCTGTGGATGTCAGTTTGCCCTACTCCCATTTCATAGAGAAACCGTCTTTCCTCTAGTGAATTGCTTTTGCACTTTTGCCAAAAATCAGTTGGGCTTGGGCAAATTTGTTTGAATCTGCTGTGTTTCATTGAACAACGTGTCTAACATCACACAGTCTCTATCAGCTCTATAAATAAGCATTAGATTAGGGGCAACATTTCTTTTGGTTGTTGAAATTGTAGTAGCAATTCTAATTCCTTTGCCTGTCCACGTATCTTTTTAAGGACAAATATATGTACTTTCATATATGTATATATCAAAGTTAAGTTTTGCACCTTTTAAAAAAATTTCATGTAAGAGTTCACCATCAACATTTACCTCATTTCAGGCACAATTACACACACACTCTCTCATACTGTTGTATTTTACAGATGCACTGGAAGTTTATTTAGTGAATGACTATTAATCACCCCCAATTTTTTATTATAGGTAAGTAACGCTGAAATGAATATTCTTATCATTCCATGTGCATTGGCACCAATGTCCCCCACGCCCATTTTTTTGTCTTTGAACTTTGTTGTGTTCTAAGCAGAGACGGATTTTGTTTAAACTTTTATGTGGTTGAGGTTATAAATTATTTCCTTTATGACTTTGGGGCTTTGTTTTTATGCTTGAGAAAGACCTCTGCTCTAAATGATAGAATTAAAACACTCATCTCTTGTTCTGTGGGTACTTGTATGGTTTCAGTTTTACAGTGGCGACTGCAAAATAAGTCCACCCTGGAGCTCCGGAACTCGCTCATGTGGCTCTGGGCTGCCCAAGTCGTGTTCCTGGGATCCGGACCTGTCCCGATGACATTCGCGCCAGTCGTCGGGCGCCACCTGGCAGTCACTTTTATATCGTCTTCCCTCCGGAGCGCTTTGCAAGGGAAGGGATTCGGTCGCGATGTCCGAGGTAGAGTTCCGGGAGGCCGGTGGCGCAGGCGAGATCTTCCGGGTCTTGCGGGGCAAGCGCACATCGTGCTCTCAGTGGAACTTCGACTCGCAGGAAAGCTGGGAAAGATGGGCTTTGGGTTCCAGGGCCCGTGTGAGGGCCCGCGAGGATGGTTCGAGCAGCCTCCACGAGGAGACCGACCCAGGCCCGAGGCCCGGCCTCTGCATGGAGAGGAGAGAGTGCCTGCGTCCAGCGGCCGGACGGTCGTCTGGAGGTGTGAACCGTCTTGGCTGGGCAGGGAGGCCCGACCCCGAACCCCAACCCCAGGACACCGCGCCACAATCCCAGCGGAAGGTGGGGAGGGGGCTTTCTGAAGGTGGTTGGGCCATGTTCGCTGGGTGCCTCCGGGTAGGTGGGAACCTCTGGGCGGTGGTGGGATACTGGGCTCGCTTCTCAGAGGATAGTGGGCACCTTGGTTCTAACCCCCTAACTTCTAAACTTGGTTTTCCTGTGTCTGTAGACCTGTGTTCTGAGGACGTGCTGGTGGCACTTCCCTGCCCATAACATTTGTTCAGCTCTCCGCGGTCCTTTGATGAACGGTGCTAGCAAAATTCTCATGAGTTGAGGGAGCTGGTGCATTGTTTGAACTCACTTGTGGATCCGGGGTCCTCCAAGGGCGACTACTGTCTGAGCGCCCTGGGGTGCCCCTCCCCGTGTTCTCGGCTGGGGGCGCGGGGGTGTCTTTGAGGAGTTACAGTTCTCCATTTTTCTCCTATCAAACGTCACCAGATACCACCTGCAGTTTGTTTCCTTAAGATGAAACCAAAAAATGGTATTTTGAAGCCATCTGAGTGCAAAATTCATCTAGATTTTTGATTTCCTACCAATTTGGTATTTTTGTTGCAGGCTTTTTAAAAACATTTTTTATTGAGTTATAGTCATTTTACAATGTTGTGCCAATGATTTCCCACTAATTTGTAATAGGCTCCCTGTTCACATTTTCATCAGCAGTTTTTAAAGTGACTCACCTGAATCATGTCATCCTTAAGGATTCAACTTAGTTTTCATAGAAACTGTTTTCACACTTCACTTTGTTTAAATTACAGATTACGGTAGCAAATACAACCGGAATAATCACGTTTGGTATCAAACACAACCAACTCTTGGTAAGCAGTGGCTTAACTGGGGGAGCAGAACTGCATAGCATGCTGGAAGGCACTTGCTCCCTATGTTTGAATCACAGCTTCACTTACTAGTTGTGTGACCTGGGAGGCAAACCACTTAACCTTTCTACCTTCTCATCTGTACAGGGGGATTCATCTGCTCTGAGGATTAACGAAAGCACTCATGAGGCAC